AAGTTCTATTGAGCTTTACATTATATTGCTTAAATAGAGCTTAAATAAACAAAATTAAGCACGTGTCAATCAATTAGTTTGCAAGTAATCACTAATTTTATAGTAATCACTAGTTTTATAGTGTAAAACTTTATTTTCTTAAATGTTTTTCATCAATGTGAAAATATTTATAATATGAAACTTTATTTTTTTATATGTTTTTTTACCAATGCGAGGTATATTAATTAGAGAAAACTTAAATAAGGTTAAACTTTTTCTCAGATATAGAATGACTATAAGACACAAAAAATAGTGCAATAAATTCTAATTATTGACCTTTATAAATTGTTGTTTTATTTTGGAAGAAATCTAGTGGCATAAATTTTTTTATCAATAAAAAGAATACTAATTTTTGAAAAAAGTACAAAGATATTCTAACCATTGTTAACACATATATTCCTAACTCACTTAGTTATAATTGATTCTTAATATATTTAATATTTATTTAATAATTGATGCCGCAACAATATGATTTTCATAAGATCAAAAGAGTTGGGGCTTTTAATCCTATCATCATATAACAAAAAATCAAATTAACACTATAATATATATTTTAAACACTTTCTGATCAAAAGTATTGAATTAATCACATAATTGAAAAAAAAATCTCAAATTTTCCTTCTAGCTAATAAAATGATCTTCCCTGAACAAGTCTAAGTAACTTTTCCATCAATTATTAGCTTAATATACCATTATGTAGACTTAAAAATTACCTCATTTCAACAAATTATATAGGTTATGTGATGAAAAATCAAGTTATACTCTCTACTCTTTTTATAGATTATGTGTTTTTATTTTAGATTAATGGATGTACAATTGATAGATGCTTTTGCTTTACATTTTATTTTTACTATTTCACTTATCTACAACAATGCAGGTGGGACGCTTCTGGTTCAAATTTCTGCAGGGTGACAAATTCTAAACGCATGGTGTCGACATACAATCCGTGTCGGGTTTTGATTCCTTTAGCAATGTCAATAATGGTAAATATTAGATCAGGTGCTTATATTAATCTTTTCCTTTATAAACACTTTGATCCTAAAATTTTTAATTTATTCTTTTATAGCATTAGATTATAGCTTTTATTATTGTCATATAGTCTTTAAACTTTTAAAATATTTTAATTTAAGTCTCAAAACTTAAGAAGTTATTTGCATTAAATCCTTTTTAAAAATTTCAATTTTCCTATTGTCATACCTAACTTTTTCCCTCCCTTTTCATATTTTTACCAAAAAAAATCTCAATTTTTATCATGTATGCATGTTGTTAAGTATGTTTTTTGAAGTGTATTATTTGTTTCAAATTTAGTTAAATAACATTATAGATTTGTGATAAGTTTTAGTGATGAATTTTATTATTAAAAGTTTATATTTTAATTGTGATTTTTTTAGTGATAAAATATCTCTTTAATAAT